ATATATATACATATACATATATATATATACATATATATATACATATATACATATATATATATACATACATATATATACATACATATATATACATACATATATATACATACATATATATAGGCTATTACTTCAAAACATATCTCTACACATATAGTCCATTTATCCATTTGTTTATATTGTGTTTACGTACGGTGCTCTACATACACAGGCCTATTATAAATATGTGTATATATGCATATCATTATTAATTTTATGTTTTCATATTGATATACGCTTATTTGTTACTTTAAGTTTCACATTTTTTGCTATAACGGCACTTAGTAACAAGTTATGTTGATAATGTATGTCGGTTTGAACACAGAATGGCCAGCTTTTCTTCAATGTATAGATTCTAGATTGCATTGTCCTGATTTACGTTTGTGTGTGTTATAATGGAAAAGAAGCTGAGTAATTACACAATTTCGTTGGGACAATTTAAGGAAATCAAACACACACAAACGTAAATCAGGCAAAACATTATCAACAAACAGAACTTGCAGTCATAGCAACAAACCACCACACCGAAAAAAAAGGTAAACAAAATACCCACCCCAGCATATAAAATCATATAATATCATCCATTACTTGTCTGATCATGGTCTGATGATCACTAATTGCGTAACAAACACGCGTATATTACTAAAGTGTATTTATGCTCTATTATTATCCTCCCATAAATATTGAATATATATTGCATGGGAAAAATTTCTTCACGCTCGCAGATTCCCCTTTTTTACCGTATACACAATATATCTAAAGCATTACCCAGACGATTTAGAGTGTATTTCTTTACGTGTTATATTTCGTGTATATACAGGTTTATATTATAATATAATAATAATATTAATATTATTATTATTATTATTATTATTATTATTATTATTATTATTATTATTATTATTATTATTATAATATAACTAGGACAAATTTTCATTTTCAAAGGAATCTCCGATAAACATTTTATGAATTTGTTGGCGGATGTGTCCGAGTGGTATGATGAGCGTAAATGCGTCGACATGCTGAAAGAATTCCTCCAAGGCCGTGTGCCTAGTAACTCTACGTTTCATGGTACTTCTAGTATGACAGACTTGCTTGAATTGCTGCGCCATGCTGATGATCTGACGCCAACTGATGTAGCAATATTGTATGATATCATTAACGCAACTCGACATTTAGGTTTACAACAGAAACTTAGAAAAAAAACACCACTATTCCCAAATATCCCACAAAATTAATGTTTAAAGATCCATAAATGTAAATTCACCGAATCTGAATTATCGCATCAGAAGGCTTACCGGACAGATCCGAATGTCGAATCAGTTTGTAAGAAACGCGATCCTAATTTCGGTTCGGATCCGATGTGAGTGCAGATTCATTGTCTTCCATAACAAATCTGGTAAAATTTGTAACGGTACTGGCCAAGGAGGATGCAGTAAAAATCAATGAAAAATATGATCTGATTATTCAGCAAAGCATATATAGATAGCTGAGAGTTTGATTTGGTATGTAGAAAGGGAAAATAATTTGTGATAATTGTGTTTCTTTCATAATTTTTGGTAAATTCTGAGATTTATATTTTATGTCATATAATTTTATATCTTGCGTTAATTTACTTCTTTTGTTCTGGGGATAGGTTTACGAGCTTGTGAGCAACAGCAATTTTAATGTTTTTTGTTAATCCTTACCTCCTTAGATTTACACTGTTTATCTGTCAAAGTAATCGTTATTTTTTGTATTATTTTACTGTATCTACAAATTGTATTGCTATTTTTATGAAAGGCTAAACAAAGAATAAAAGAATAAATAAATGAAAGAATTTTGAAGGAATATGACTTTCTCATCTACCTGAAGATACTAGTAGGCCTATATGATTTTTTATTTCAAATATGCTGTTATTAAAATTTAATGATGATGTCGTTGATGATTTTTAATGTTTTACTCACTTTAGATAAACCTATAAATGTATTGCTAGATGTTATTGTTAATATTTTATATCGAATTATGCCAATAGTGTCTCTATATGTACACTTTGCATTATTACATCTGTCTTTTTTTTTATCAAACACATTTGAAACATTTTCTCAGCATACTTCCTGTATTTTCAAATATTCTATGTTTTGGTTCTGGTTGGTAAAGTCGACTTCCTAAGGAAGTCGAAAGTGTAGGTCATGGGGACAGTTGGACATGTCCTCCCCTCCCACATATATTTGGGAGGTTTGGTTCCCCTCCCCCAACTTTACGACCGTAATGCAGTTTCATAAGAAGATGCCTGAACATTTTTGAAATGAACTGTATACATGACAGGTTTTTCAGGAAAAAGTGTGGTGTTAAATTATAATTATTAACTTACGATTCTTGTACATTTCAAAATTTTGTAAATATGATGTCATGAAACAACTGTTATTAGAAGTTTATGATAAAAGAACATGAGTTGGTGCTTCATTTCGACTATAAGGAAAAAAGTATATTGGGTTGGCCACGCCTGACCGACCCAAATTTTACGAATTAAGGGTTGGCATTTTATTTATTTATTTATTTATTTATTTATTTATTTATTTATTTATTTATTTATTTATTTATTTATTTATTTATTTATTTATTTATTTATTTATTTATTTATTTATTTATTTATTTATTTATTTATTTATTTATTTATTTATTTATTTATTTATTTATTTATTTATTTATTTATTTATTTATTTATTTATTTATTTATTTATTTATTTATTTATTTATTTATTTATTTATTTATTTATTTATTTATTTATTTATTTATTTATTTATTTATTTATTTATTTATTTATTTATTTATTTATTTATTTATTTATTTATTTATTTATTTATTTATTTATTTATTTATTTATTTATTTATTTATTTATTTATTTATTTATTTATTTATTTATTTATTTATTTATTTATTTATTTATTTATTTATTTATTTATTTATTTATTTATTTATTTATTTATTTATTTATTTATTTATTTATTTATTTATTTATTTATTTATTTATTTATTTATTTATTTATTTATTTATTTATTTATTTATTTATTTATTTATTTATTTATTTATTTATTTATTTATTTATTTATTTATTTATTTATTTATTTATTTATTTATTTATTTATTTATTTATTTATTTATTTATTTATTTATTTATTTATTTATTTATTTATTTATTTATTTATTTATTTATTTATTTATTTATTTATTTATTTATTTATTTATTTATTTATTTATTTATTTATTTATACCAGACACTCTTACGCTGACGAAGGCAGCAGGTGCTGCCGAAAATTTCGTTGAATAAATGTACATGTCTCAAATTATGTCAAAGTGTCCGGCGTTTATGTTAACAACTGCAGTGTTATTTTATACAACCGAGACATACGTGGAACTTCATCGACTAAATCGATCAGATATGAATTTTTATATATATATATATATATATATATATATATAGTTATATAATACTCAGTAGAACATGTATTTTGACAAAGTAAGAAGAGAAAGATGGGATGGTGGTACAATCAGTTAATAAAACCCATTTTCACCTGTTTTCGATAAGATCATATTTTGGTGAGGCATTTTCGTCTGAACTTGGCGTAGCGACACAATAATCAATGTATAACTTGATGTCTCCCGTGTAGGATGTCACGTGGGCTCCCATATAGATCGTCTGCCCAATATCTACAACCACTGGATAATCATTGTTGCCGTATGGTATGCTGAAATTACTTTCTCTATACATGTCTAACGTGAAAGAGAAGTTCCCACTTCCTTCCACGTCATCCCCGAGGAGTTGGACCTCTTGTGGGTCAAAGTTGATTGAAGATCTGCCAGAATTTCTAAGTTTACACTTAACTGGAAGTACATGTTGAGTTTCCCTTGAAATTACGGTGCTGTTACCCACTTCTTTGTAAGAAACTGCATTCGAGTACTCAACGAATTCATCTTCAAACTTAAACACATTTTTTTTTTATTATTTTGTATTTCAATTTATTCAGCTTCGTGTAATATAAGCAATTCAGCATAACCATGTTCAACTGTACTGTATTAAATTTTTATTATATCATTAATACAAAAATGATTTTTTTTTTCTTTACGAAATCGATTTTTGCTATACTTACATTCACTGTTGTTCCACATCTATCGTACCTAGTGACAAAGACTAACCAATACATTCCGTTTTTGTAAGTACGGTAAAATGTTTTGCAATCTGAATCAATCAAATGTGGCGGGAAATTTGTCACATCGACCAGGGTACTATCACCGATATATATTGTCATGTACGAGTCGTCGCAGACCACATCTGAAAAAAGGGGGACACTGTCAAAATATTTCAATGAACTGCATATTTTTTCTTCTTTATATTGTGTAACAATAATAATGTAAAATAGAAATCTAATTTTCTCCCACAGAGCCCGTTAGGCTTTAAAAAAGTGAGCTTCAGTAAATATGTATTTCTATAGTCTCTACTTGAACGTGGTGATACATTCTGCAGGCCAGAAGATGTGCGCAGAAGAAAAAATTATTTTAAGTAAAATATACCTGATTGAACCAAATCTGGAATGGGAGAGCTGGCATCTGTAAGTAATTAGAATATATTTTAAAATAATTATATACATTTGTAACACACTGAAATGCACCAAAAGGTAATCTGAATGTCTGAATCTCATCCGGGCCGAATCCAGAGATGCGTAGGGGGGCCGAATGGCATGCCTCCGCGAAATCTGTTTTCTAGACGCCAAAAAAATAACCTCTGATGTATTTTGTGTGATTATCGCTTTTTTTTTTTTTTTTTGATTTCCAAAAAAGAGGAGAGAAGGGGCCGGGGCCGGCCCGGTTCCTCACCCCCCAAAACTCTCCCCTATTCATTTTGCATGAATTGTGAATATTTCAGTTTCTTAAGCTTCTTTCAAATCGGTTCCGTAACAAAATCCGAACCGCGTTTCCGATCATCATCATCATCATCATCATCATCATCATCATCATCAGCATCGTCATCATCACCACCATCATCATCATCATCACCATCACCATCCATCATCATCGTCCATCATCATCATCCATCATCCTCCTTCATCATCATCATCATCCATCATCCTCCTCCATCATCATCCTCCTCCATCATCCTCATCATCATCATCATCATCCATCATCATCATCATCATCATCATCATCCATCATCATCATCATCATCATCCTCCATCCATCATCCTCCATCATCATTATTATATGCCTATTCCAGCAGCAGCTGGAAAAGCCATTATTAATATTAATATTAATAATATTAATAATAATAACATAATATTATTATTAATAATAATATTAATATTAATAATAATAATAATATTAATAATAATAATATTAATAATAATAATAATAATAATAATAATAATAATAATTCTGGATTTGGGAAAGTTTAATCAAGTTACAAGGAAGACATTATTGTGTTGGGGACGATCCAGGTTAGGGTGTGAATTTGAGGGTCATTGCTTACGTTCTTGTAGTTATCATTAAGTTTAGGCCCATATGAAATTTAACTGTAAATTTAAACTGTATATGCTTATAACGACGCCTTATTGGTCAGGGAGTTATGACGTTCGCCTTGTATACTAATGGTTTTGAGTTAAAGTCCTGGTCGAGGCTGTGATTTTTTTTTTGTCAGATTTCTTTTCTAAGCAGTCCCTAAAGGGACATGATTAAAAACAATATTAAATTATTTCGAGGGACCAAAATAATATTTCGAAAGAACGAAATAATTCCGAGGGAACGAAATAATATTTCGCTACCTCGAAATATTATTTCGTTCCTTCGAAATATTATTTCGTTACCTCGAAATCATTTCGAGGATTTCGTTCCCTCGAAATATTATTTTGTTCCCTCGACTCGAAATAACATTTCATTCCCTCAAAATATAATATTTCGTTCCTTCGAAATATATTATTTCGTTCCCTCGAAATACTATTTTTTTTTCCTCGAAATACTATTTCTTTTCCTCGAAATACTATTTCTTTCCCTCGAAATAATATTTCGTTTCCTCGAAATAATATTTCGTTCCCAAAATAATATTTCGAGGAAACGAAATAGTATTTCGAGGAACGAAATAATATTTTGAGAGAACGAAATACTATTTTGGGGGAACAAAATCATTTCGTTCCCTTGAAATGATTTCGAGAGAACGAAATAATATTTCGAGGAAACGAAACAATATTTCTCGTTCCCTCGAAAAAGTTTAATGTTTTTTCTAATCATGTCCCTTTAGGGGCTCCGTAATATACATTAAAAGTACATTTAACAACAGGGGAAAAGATGATGACATACATAGAAAAGGTGTAGTAGCAATGTTTATGTCAAAAGAAGCAGAGAGAGCATTAATTGACTGGACAGCAATAAGCAAGAGAATAATCAATGCAAGATTTTTTTCTAAATACATTAAGACGACCCTTATCCATATATACTCCCACCGAAGATGCAGATGAGGAATACAAAGATGATTTTTATGCCTTACTTTAGGAAACTGATGTAGGCCTACATAAGCATGGTATGTTAGTCTTACCCGGAGACATGAATGCAAAATTCGGAGAGAAAAATGAAGGCTATATAACAGATTAATGAGAAAAAACGGTCTAGGAAGCATGAATAACAATGAAGCCTCTGTGGTCTAATGGTTGATAGCGAGAGGTCGCAGGTTCGAGTCCCGCCAGGCATTTTATTACAAAATTTCTTTATTAATTTATTTACAAGTACATACGTTTGGAGCTATGCGACATGATAATAATAATAATAATAATAATAATAATAATAACTATATTGTTTCTCTTTTGTAAGAAAGGCACAAAGCGGTAAAGAGATGTGCAACAATAATTCACAATATAAGATTTAAAGAAAATAACATATGCACATTTGTCTTGCAATAGACATTTCTTACTAACCTAATAGGCCGTCTAATTAATACAGTACTTCATCAGTATTTTGATTTTTTTTTTACTAAACTAATAACGAAAAGAAATTATAATACGCATCCCAGGAAATGAACTACATGCCACTGCTCTCGACACCATTCACGCCACTGCCAGGAATTCATGACAATGTGTGACTAATGCCGAAACCAGACGGCGTGCATTCCATCTCCCGGAGAATGCATTACATTTTACCTGAATAAACTGAAAAGAAACATATGAGAAACTTATAAAAGAAAAGAAAGAAAAAAAATTTATAATAATAGTTTTTCCCCTTCCCTTCCCTCCCCTTCCCCTTTCCTTTCCTTTTCCTCTCTCTTTTTTTTATCACAAAAGATAAAGTCACAGATAAAACAGAGGAAACAGCAAAATTTTATAAACAATAAAATTCTGCTAAAAGATTAAAAAGGCTAACAAGGCTAAAGACATTAAAATGGAGTTAAAATTGGTTAAACATTCTGTTAAAAATCAGCTTTGGCAAAGGCAAGCAGATTGGGGTGCACAGCATAGGCCTATCTTTTCCACATTTTATTAAATTGTCTCATAGCGCTTGGGAGAAATGATTTACAAATTCTATTTGTCCGCATACTTGGATATAACATACGTCCAGTCCTGCTGAAGGAGCGGTACTGATTAAGAGGGTGATTAACATCTGATATAATTACTTCCATTTTTTTACACATTGCACTGTTAACACAATCTTCTATATTCTTACTGTCTTTAGTCCCAATAATTCTGTCAGCTGTTCTACTAATTCTTACAACTTTTTTCATGTTCTGTTTATCAAGGCTATAAAACCAGA